ATTGAATACTTTATTCTGACATATATTGACATAAAATATAAAATATTTCGTAAATTATTTATTTTTTGGTGTATTTCAATACTTTTATGCACAAAATAATGAAATAAATCAATTAGTATAAAGAAAACACATAGTGGCTTAAAAACAAAGAAATTATTTAATACTTATAGAATTATGCATACTTACAATATACAACTACATTTTCTTTTAAAAACAACTATGTGCTTTTTTACGTTAATTGATTCATCTTATTATTCTGTGCAAAAAGTATTAAGATATAATTACAAATAAATAAATAATTTTTAAAATGTTTTATACTTTGACACGTTTTGACATAAAATACCTCGTAAACTACTACTTTTGATAACTCTACTTAATACTTTTATACACAGACGACTTATATTATGTAAAAAACTCATATAATTCTACATATTTAAAATAAAAAGTAGCGACGATTTTATGTGATAAAAATTGATTTTTTTCAAAAATTAATTTCATCTCCTTTTAGACTATACAATTTTGAGCTAAAACATTGTTGTCGGCCAATTTTAGTTTTTTCAACATATTTCGATATTTTATTTTAGGTGCACACATATCGATTGCATTCAAGGTGTGCGCTATCAGCGCTATTATGTTATTATATCTTTATCAATTAATAGACATAAAACAAGGACAAAATAGTGTAACAGCGCAGACGAACGCAACCGCTCTCTGATAGTACCACCTTTTTTTAAATTTATTTTATTTGAAGAAGCAGTACAAAAAATTATAGAAAAAAGGGAATCTTCAACGGCAAAGCGAATAAAAAAAAATTGTTCAGCGTATAGTCAAGCGGAATTCGTCCGCAGTTGACAACATGTTGTTTAATCGTGTTTATTAACATATAAGCTTAAAATAAAATAAATATCGATTTACTCCATTTAGACTGTTCTTGTTAAACAAAATTTGCTGTCATACTATGTATACCCACGGTAATCGATTCTGTCCCTCGGAAATTTTCACAAACTCAAAACTAATCACTTTTCTACATTAATGCTCATAATCCATGCACGAATTTGTTTCGTTAATTGTGCATAGATTATGAATATTAATGTAGAAAAGTGGTCACCTCCGAGTTTGTGAAAATTTCCGAAGGAAGAATCGATTACTGTGGGTGTACATCAAACTATCAATTCTCGTTTTGTACATAATTATTACTTACTTGTATATATAATAAATAAATATGTATATATATATATATATGTGTATATACATATATGTATATATCAAATACAAATCTACATTTACGTGTGCATGAGTGTGTCCTGTACTATATCTAGAATTTCTTAATTTTTTTTATTATTTTATTTTTTATATATTTCTTAATTTTTTTGTAATACATTTTCTATTTATTTATTTATTTCTATTTTTTCTATTTTTTCTATTTCTTTATTTATTAATGACGTATAAAAAATGTTAGGAGTTGAATTAAATAAAATATTCTTTTGCAGATGACACAATCAAATTATCAAGAATATTGTCGAGAAACTACTTATCGCATAACATTCGTAATTTCTATGAGGAATTAGATCCAAAGGTTTACAATAATTTAGAACATCAAAACTTGTATGTGTTGAATTTGGATTGCGATTACGCGATTGATATTTTACGACAGGTAACATATGTGTTTATATCTGTCATAAGCACATTATAGATAGAAAAGTATAAGCAGACGAACATATTGTTTATAAATCTCGGAATAAAATGTGATTAAAAAAATAAAGAGATCTTTCTTTATATTTCGCTGATATTTTGACTGATGAGATTCATAAATAATTTTCGTTGTTATGTTTTGAATCAATCTTTCAATTATTTATCACGATCGATATCTTATATTATATATGCAACAACAGGCACATTCGAAAAGAATGTTCGTCGCCCCGATGAAGTGGTTGCTTTTTCAAGACCGAAAAACGGTGATTGATAACGCCAATTTAACTTCTACATATGACAATTCTATATTGGATATTTTTGAGGATTTGGCGATCTATCCTGACAGCGATGTGATCCTGGCGCGAAGATTCGATGGGGACTTTCTCGAATTATTATCCGTATATCGACCAAGTTCACAGCGAGATGTAATGTGGGAAAATCGTGGAAATTGGACAATTGAAAACGGTTTACAAATGAGTACTTTCGACGTGGCATCAGCAAGAAGAAGAAATCTTCAACAGACGGCTCTTAAATCTTGTCTCGTGGTACTTTGAAAAAATATAATGGTCACGCGAGAAAATGCACTTAAATAGAGAGACACGTTGTTAAAGCATTTTGTGTGCAAGCTAATGCAACATGTGTGTAACATCTAATGTTGCTACATTAAATGAAAAGCGAAGCGAATAAAGTACTAGCCACTGTCATAATAAAATTTCGAAAACGCTGCAATTTACCCGCCATTTTGAGTATCGAGTTTTTTTTAACAATAGAGATTAATTTTCTTTCAAGATTTATT